ACACACACACACACACACACACACACACAGCAGGGTCTAGGAATAACCTCTGCCCAGTTTCTCTCTTCCTTGGTAGAGAAGGAGTTCTGCTCTGTAACCGTGCTGACAGGGCATACATAAGCAGGCATGTTAGAGTCAGACTTTGGACTCTGAAGAGATAGCTGGTGAGCGACCTGTATCCAGTTTTCTTTATATAGTTCTTCCTGATGGCTGGAGTTTATACACGCTGACTAGAATTACAGTAGCCATTTTGGTCCATGGGTATGAAAGATAGATATGACAGAGTGACAAAAAGGGAACATAAACCCTGAGCTCTTAGAGTCAGCCAGCATGGTGGCTTCTACCAAAGCCAGGCTTCGGACAGCTAGAGCAGAAGCAATTCCTAACTTAGAGTTGACTGTGATGGGGTGTGTGTGTTGGGGGGCACACACATGACAGATCATGTGCGCATGCACATGCATGGTAAACAGAAGAAGGCTGGGAGTCCTGCTCTACCACTCTTTATTCCTTAGAGCCAGGGTGTCTCACTAAACCAGGAGTTGGCTGGCGGCCGGCAAACCCCAGCTTCATCCCCGGCATTGCTCCCCAGCAATGCATGTGCAGCCACGCCTGCCTTCTTTTTACATGGATTCCGGGGATTTGAATTCGCAAAGCATTCTTTTTTTTTTTTAAAGTAATTTTATATTTTTAATTTTTTATTTTAGGTACATTGGAATGAAGGTGTCAGATCCCTTGGAACTGGAGTTACAGACGGTTGTGAGCTACTATGTGGGTGCTGGAAATTGAACCCAGGACCTTTGAAAGAGTAGACAGTGCTCTTAACCACTGAGCCAATCTCCAGCACCCCGCAAAGCATTCTTACCCAATGAGCCATTGGATAAGCCATTTCCCAAGCTGCTGATTTAGTTCTTAAAAGGTTCCACATGATCAGTTACTTAGGTTGTTCCCTGTTTTTATTACTGTACTGAGATTATAACGAGCACTCAACATGTAACTCTTTGCATGTGGCTCTCAGTATTTTCTTTGTGATAAAATCAGTGAAATTTAATTTGTGGGTCCAAGGTGAGGTGAGGAGAATGTGTGCAGAATAACTCTTACAAGAACCCTGCTAAAGAGAGTGGGGGGTGGGGAGCTGTGCACTCTATAGGCTGAAAGCCTGCTCGATATCTAAGGGGTGTATGTGTGTGCGTGTGTTTCTGAGGACTGAACCTAATGTGTGAGGCAAGTGCTCAACTTCTGATGTGTGGGTGTGTATGTACATATATACATACAAGTATACATACATATAAATATATATACACATATACACACACATACATACACACAAAAATATATATATATATAAATTCAGAGACATGATCTCAGCATGTCTCCTAGGCTAGCCTGGAACTCACTATGTAGACCAAGCTAGCCTTGAACTCACAGAGGTGCACTGTATCTGCCTCCAAATGCTGAGATTAAAGATGTCTACCACAATGCCTGGCCTGAGCTATACTTTAGAGTCTCAAAGTTCCTAGTCTGAAGCTTAGGCTGCCTTGAGCCTTCTTTTTCTTTCTTTCTTTTGGAGGTGGGAGTGGAGTTGAGACAGGGTTTCTCTGTGTAGCCTTGGCTGTCCTGGACTCGCTTTGTAGACCAGGCTGGGCTTGAACTTTCAATTCTTCTTTTTTAGCCTCCTACATAGCAGAAATTATAGACCAAGTGACTAGGTTTAGCTCTAAGGTGCTTTTATACTTGCTTATATTCACTTTATCATTCTTTATTCTTTT